TTTTTGGGGGAAAATATCATTAAAAATTGAAAATAACAGTATTTATCGCCAGAATTCTTCCTGAAACTCATGTAGAACTATTTGTTTTTTTAAAATTCTATAAGAATTTGTGGTCAAAACGTAATAGGTCTTCTACAATAAGCCATTACTAGAGACCCTAAAAAGAGAGACTCGCCAACTCGTCACGTGACTATGGGTGATTCTGATTGGCTGGGGTATGAATCGCACATCTGCGTTCCATGAACATGTACCATAACCTATTCTAATAGAATACGCGTACATGACTGATGATACATGTGTTGCTGTCAGCTTGTGTTGCTTACTGACTAGTAAGTTAATTTATCACATCTATGTAAAATTTTAAGAAAGGTAATGTACATATATCACGAATAAGCTTCGAATTAATAAACGCTTCATAGTTAAAAATAAGAGTAATACGAAAGTTAGAGATACCTATTTCATTAATAATGTAATTCTCTTGTAGGTTTTGATTTTATACATTTTGGAGATGCCACATATATGTTGTGCAGCGAAATGTTTCAATAAATCCAGTGATGAATATATGTTATTCAGATTTCCCAAGGAAGATCAATATCGGAAAGCATGGATAGATGCTGTTTTTGGCGAGAATGCAAGATCCATAAATAATCTGAGATTGTGCGAAGTGAGTGTTCATCGTAAGAATGCTATGCATCCGAATAAAAATAGTTTAAAAAGTGCTTCTCCATTTAATGCTTTTCTCATTTCAGGTACACTTTGGGCGATTAGATATATTGGTGGTAGGTTGCCGGAAAGAAGTAAAAAGAGCTGCGATTCCATCACGTTTTTGTCATTGTCCCTCAGAAAATATTTGTAAATCGCAGGCAAGAATAATTTTGCAACATTTTTCATGATACGGTTAGTTACAGGACAAGCTACGTTTTTTACTGAAATACAACAACGCTCATATGTATCAACTGCTTGACAAATATGACTATCAGACATTCTTCTTATTTTAACATTATGCACATTAACTTCATCTTTCTTCCGCTTTCTTGTTTGCGATTTACAAAAATTTTCAGAGGGACAATGACAAAAATGTGATGGGATTGCACCTTTTTTTACTTCTTTCCGGCAACCTACCACCAGTATATCTAATGGCTGAAAGTGTACCTGAAATGAGGAAAGCATTAAATGGAGAAGCATTTTTTAAACTATTTTTATTCGGATCCCGCATAGTATTCTTACAATGAACACTCACTTCGCACAATCTCAGATTATCTATGGATCTTGCATTCTCACCAAAAACAGCATCTATCCATACTTTCCGATATTGATCTTCCTTGGGAAATCTGAATAACATATATCCATCACTGGATTTATTGACACATTTCGCTGCATAACATATATGTGGCATCTCCAAAATGTATAAAATCAAAACCTACAAGAGAATTACATTATTAATGAAATAGGTATCTCTAACTTTCGTATTACTCTTATTTTTAACTATGAAGCGTTTATTAATTCGCAGCTTATTCGTGATATATGTACATTACCTTTCTCAAAATTTTACTTGATAAACGATTTATTACGTTTAATTTTATGTGATAAATTATAACTTACTAGTCAGTAAGCAACACAAGCTGACAGCAACACGTGTGTCATCTGTCATGTAAGCGTATTCTATTAGAATAGGTTAGGGTACATGTTCATGGAATAATACAATCTTGGTATAATGGCCCCGTCCCAAATTCTTGACTGGGACCACGAAGTAAGAGAGAAGGAGATCGAACTTAATAGAACACAAGCTGAAAAAGTGGTCCTTATTCGTGACCCCTAATTGGGAGGGAGTCCGCTGAAAGGAATGGATTCTTATGGTTGGGCGCTATTTGCAATTAACCTTACCCGAACAGTCCGGCCTGGCTTGCATTCACGAAGTAAGAGCGTGCTTGTATTATACGGAGAGGTTAAGACTAAGAATTCCAAAAAATTAAAAAAGGTAAAGATTTATAAGAATTGATAGTGAATTCGATAACTTGCACTACGCTAGATTAGTACGTACTAAAAGCTACTGTGCACGAAATTAGCAGAGTTAAAGCATATAAATAATTTAAACGATTAAATATTCAATAACATAATATAATATATTAATATAATATTCATTTTAATATTAAATATTCAACATTTCACCTTTTTTAATTTTTTGGAACTCTTAACCTCTCCCACGATCTCTTACTTCGTGACCTCTCCGTATAATGCAAGCAATGGATCAGGCCGGACTGTTCGGGTAAGGTTAATTGCAAATGGCGCCCAACCATAAGAATCTATTCCTTTCAGCGGACTCCCTCCCAATTAGGGGTCATGGACTAGGACCATTTACGTTTCACAGAGTTCGATCTCTTTCTCTTTTACTTAGTGAGTGGGACGATACTAGCCAATATCAAAAATTTTAATTTACGCTAGCGAAAATAATGCGTTTAAAATTACAAGTATATCAAAGGGACGTTATTTCAGATTATTAGAGATGCGTTTCAAGACCGAAGATATTTCGGCGCGCAATTTTGGGGGGGTGGGAGGGGAATTTACATATATTAGTTTAAAATAAATATTGCGAAGAATATTACTACGTCGACCCGCCATCAGAGGTCTATAGATATTCGCTAAAAATTCTCGCAAGTGCTTTGATACGCGTATATCTGTATATATAGAATCTCGATTTAATAACTTAAACAGGCGTCTAAGGTAGGCTTCCACTACATTGACTACTGATGAGTCCAGTAGTGGAAGTTGGGACGAAACGCCATAATTACGTGATATTCTTCGCAATATATATTAGATTAATTTAAAAAATGTTTAAACGGAATTATTGGCTCATTGCCCTTATCTCTTCAAATTAGTTGTTTAATACATATGGAGCTTTATCACAAACATTTCAATATCAAAAAGCTGCCGCCAAAGGCGAGTAACAAAAGTCAAAAAGAGTTATGAGAACAAAGAAGATGACGCAATGCCCGTGAAAAATGGCGCCACCCGAACGAAGACCGATTCTTTTTAGGGTCTCTAGTCATTACCTAAGTTTTAAGTATTAAGTCATAAGAAATTGACCACTCACAGTCGATTATTCTTCTCACATTTGATTGTGATTGATAAATTTCTTATAGACCTTCTACAATAAACCATAAGTCATTACTCACATGACATAAGTGTTAAGTCACAATTATAAGTCATAAATCTTAAGGAATTTGCATCTACAATAAGTCGTATATTAGATCGTTGCATCATAACAGTTCAGCAATTAGATTCAACAATTAAATTCGACAAGTTTGATGAGTTCAATGTTACAAATTTTTTGTAAACATTCATATTCCATTTTAAATGTTATAAATCACTTCGATCTCAATATTCTCGATTCAGTTTTTAGGTTATACGAAATCAGTTTTCTCATAAGAAATGGCAGACACATATTGCTTTTTGATTGGTCAATCATAACGTAATCATAAGCTCTAAGTCAGAAGAGATGGAATTTGACCATCTCCACTCAGTCACGGACTACCGACTTATTACTATCTTATGACGCATTACTGACTCGCTTGCAACTAGCTTCTGACTTCTGATTTATGACTTATGGCTTATTGTAGAAGGCCCATTATGATTTAAGACTTAAAACTTAAATAATGGCTTATTGTAGAAGGCCCATAAGACAAAGTGAGACGCTGCGTGAACCTGGCGTCTCAGTTTGTTTTTTTGGTTTTTCCGTTTTAAAGGGCAGAACTCTTATTTTTATACATATAGAACTATCGAAAATACATTCAGAACTCTCAATAATTAATAAGTTTCCACGAAATAATTGCCAGCTTCACACACACAAAATAATATCATTTGAAAATAGTAATTTTGTGCCACACGTCGCATTGAATTTAATCCTTCCAAATTAGTTAAATATGATTAAATAATCAATTTGTATTGTAAAAAATTAACTTTGAAAAACGCTTGAAAAGCAGGTTTATCACTTATTAGACCGAATATGTATCTCGATCATGTGTTCATTAAAAAATTATCCTATCAATTTAAAATTTCTCCTATCAATATTATTGTAGTAATTGACATAGAAATATTATTGCACAGTATACGATTACTTCACAATTAGCTAAAGAAGTCCTAAATTCTCCTGCATGCGATATGAGCGATTTCTAATTAAGCTAGTATTAAGAACAATGTGGTACTAGCGCGAAATAAGTGAAAGTACCTCATAAAATGTTAAATCGTCAGATTTATATCGACTTATAAATATAGTAGATATATTTGTATATCCATTGTCATGTCGCTTTTAACTCTGTTTGAATAATTTTTTTTAAGTTTTACTAGGTTCAAGATGTAAGTTTCTTATACATGAATATCCTCTTTTAATTTGCTATCATTATTAGTCATCTTAAATGTATCATTTTTATGTACAGTACAAAAGCAACTACCCTTTAAGAAAAGTATTAATGCGTTGGATGTAAAGTTTGACGTGTATAAGTTACCTATTCGATCCTTTTTTCTGCTGTAAGCTTGTATAAAAACATTATCCACCTTTAAAATATTGTTATTTCGTATTTATTATACAAGCGTTGCGATATGTAAATATTATCGTCCTGCAAGTATTGTACCAGTCAAACGCGGCAAATACTTTAATTACCTTAATAGATTGGAGACGAAGCATTTGCGATGCGTTCACAATTTTGCCATATTGATATATTTTTGTTAGATTACGGTATATATATTTAGATACCAATAAATATTGTAGCTTCCTGAAATCGTGCATGTGTGTATTGTTATAATTGATGAGTTGTTAATTTTAATTTAAAACTTTGTAGATGCTTATGTCTTGGTCGCGAGTAACTATAGCAAATTGGATGTATAAGAATTACGAGCAAATTGAATAATGCTTGGCAATAAAAATTGCATGCTGCAATTTTTGTTTAAAAAACTTTTATTTGGAAATTGCTTCGCGCCAAGAAAATAGAGATTTTCGATGTCAGGTCTGCGTTCAGGACAAACAGCTTACCAGGGAGCGGTTCCAGCAGTGCCAATAATAGTTTGGGCCGATCCTTAAGAAACGACTTACTGGTAGCTGCCGACAGCGTTACTAATGCCATGTCAACGCTTGTGAGGGAATTAAATTCAGGTATGTTGAATAATAATGCGCTATAAAAAATCTATTAGTATCAATAATAACAATTGATAAATTGGACGTGGATGTATTGTATATATAGAAGTAGAAATTAATTTTTTAAAATATTCTTCAATTAAAAATATGTTAGAATGTGTTGAAAAAGAATTGGGAAGAAAAAATATATATAATAATTAAATAAGAGATATTTAGAATTTCTACACATATCTATCAAATACATATAATACTAACAAAAATTCGTTTGACAAAACTACGTCCAATTATGCTTATAGTTTTAAATAGTATAATTACACAATATCGCTCAGCATATTTTTCGTGATATAGTACGTTTACACTCATTACATAGTTGGTACATGAATTTCGCAGAATATAGGTATTATTATCTCACAAACAGAACTAAAGGTAATTTTTAAGAGGCAATATAGCGCCTCGTCGTGAATTGTGCAGATCAATTTAATATTACAAGCTTTTAGCTACGAAGTATGTTAGCATCTCTATCGCCGTGTTTTTTAGCTGATGGCATGTTAGTAATACGAATTACGATTTTATTATCAGTGGCGCCATAAATTTGTTAAATTGTCGATTGTCTCGCAGGCGAGGTGGAACAATAGATAAACTGATCTGCATTTACCACATATTATCGTGCGTAGTATTTTACAACGAAATCATGTTTATTAATACTAGACTGTTTTATTACTATTGCAACTATTTTTGCTCCTGCTACATGTACTATATATTCTCACTACTACCACACTGTAATTAGTTACATGTTTCATGCCATTTTATAAATGTTTTGTCTTCATCTTCATTCTAAACATATATGGTAAAATGATAAAACAGATATATTTTCCAATTTTTCTAAATAGCATTTATACTAATTTCTTGCACATCATACGTATTATTTTATTGTTTTAATTCAATTTAAAATTGTAAGAAATATAATAATATAATGGGATTTATCTTTCAATTACTTGCTGTGTACTAATATTTATCTTTCAAATATTTACAATTATCGCATTTGAGTTGGATGTACACCCACAGGCATGCCGCACACGTCGTATTTATTTATATTCTCTTACATTATTAAAGGATCATATAGCATGAAAAAAATGCGACTCTTCATCTGTTCTTAGTCTTGATATTTATTAATCGATTTGTAAGATGATTCATATTATACAAATGCTATCTAGGTGATCCGAAATTCGCGGATTCGGAGTACAAGACATGATACTTTATGCTAAAACAAACAACTTTTTCTTTTAGCAAAATTGCGTCCGACAAATAGTTTTTGCAAGAGAGCTTCTTGAAATTAACGAATAAGCACTTGGATTCATGTAGCGCTCAGGGCCGGCGCGCGCACCTCACTTGCGAGTACCTAGTACGTGACTAGTATTCATAAATGATGTCTTTTAAGACGCTTATACGGCTCTGTTATGATTAGTTTACGACATCTTAAGACTGTACTTAAGATATCTTATCTTAAATAATAAGAAAAAGCTATGAACAATATCGGCATTTCACCTTTTTTCATATTGTGTTGCATAAATGATGAAAAGTTAATGAAATAAATACTGCCTTCATTTCTTACGTAATACATGAATAAAAAATTGTCTGCTTGCATAATAATAATGTGAAAATAAAGACAAATGTAAATAATAATGTGCTTCGCGAGCGTTCTTTTATGTCAAATATTGTACAATTACGTGACAGTTAAATAGTATCATTAAACTTAAAGAATAAACTTAAATTTATTGATCAAACGAGTACATTTGTGATTAAAAGTAAAGTAAAATCGTCCGGCTAAAGCTACAATAAGCCATAAGTCATAAATAAGAAGTCAGAAGCTAGTTGCAAGCGAGTCAGTAATGCATCGTAAGATAGTAATAAGTCGGTAGTCCGTGACTGAGTGGAGATGACCAAATTCCATCTCTTCTAACTTAGGGCGGAATCCATAGACGTTGCTTAAGATCTGTCTTGAGATAGTCTTCGTCAAGATCGACTTAGGGTCCAAAACTAGCTTAAAAATGCCTTACATGCATAAATGTATCTTGAAAACTCGAGTTTAAGCTTGAGACTGCCTTAACAAAGCTCATGCTTAAGCATTATGCTTCGTCAGGCTTTGTTAAGGCAATCTTAAGTTTAAACTCGAATTCTCCAACATCGGAAACATTCGGGATTCTCTAGAATCTGTCCAATGACACTTTATTCACAAGTATTAAACGTAACGCGCGGAATTGTATGTATAAATATATTTAGCAGTTAGAAACGTGTTCAGTCATGCAAGAAAAGGTTGAATAGGTCAGAACTGGTATGATTATGATTCAAGTATGTTTTATGATTTTATTTCTTACATTTCAAATATAGACATATAATGACTTATTCATTAAATGAAATTATTCATCTTTTGAAAAATAAATCCATAAAAGGCATATTACGTTAAGTTTAACGAAGAAAATAACCATAATTAACTATAAATTTACTTAAAAATGGATAATCTAATCATATTTATTTTAGTGAGACAATTTTTTACATTAAAAAAATTTTTTTTTACATTTTTGTTGTTGATACCGCATAAAAAGTCTAGAATTTTGGAAAATTGAATCTACTGTCGTGTTGACTTCCTGGCCATTCAGGAACAAGATCCAAAAATTCCATCTGCATTCCTACAACAGCCTTGCACAAAAAGACAATACGATAAAAATAAAATATATATGTAATATACGTGAAATAAGCATTGTTAAACATTAATAAACATTGTTTTTGTTAATTTACCTGGACATTTAAAGAAGAATATCCTTTTCTATTTCTGTACATTTCACCTAATCCTTGAAAATTATTACCAAATAATCTTATATGAATACAGTCTATTGCTCCATCAATACAAGGAAGTCCAATAGCTCCATGTCCATATCCTAATTTTTTAAACAATCCTCTATTTTCTTGTATAGTTGCTTGGTTTGTCGGAAATTTGACATAAGTATTTAAACCCATAAAAAACCTTTTTTTAAAAAAAGAAAAAAACATACGCCAAATGCATATAAAAGATACTGAACTTCTTGATCAAAAATAGATATGAGATAAATATAATTGACCAAGTGTATTCTTCATTACGCCAGTCACATAAGACAGACCAAAAGTGACTATAATTGTCAACTGG